TTTCTAAGTAGCTGGTAGGCCCCATAGAGGAAGAGGTCTTGAATAGGTGTTGTCATGTCAGAGGTATCAGCTTTTGCCTAAACTCATCCTTCAGGCCTGCTTCTGTGGTGTTGCAGAACTGCTGGGCACATTGTACACAGTGCTCCTACAGACGTTTCTCTCCTTCTCCATGCTGGTTCTCCAAACTTCCCCTAAGAAGATGACTGATATGGGGAAGTCAGGAGAAGCCTGGCCAACAGAGATGTGGGATTTGTGGGAGGGGTAAGGAGCGTGGACAGCAGAAGCTAATGATTTTGCAGAGGTAAGAATGTTCAGGTAATGTTGATCCTACCATAAAGCAGACTTAAAGCAGTCATGTGAGGCCCTTGCCCTATTTTAACCTGTAACGTTAATCCATAAAGCTAAATGCTACTCCACACCCTGACAGGAATCCGCTGCTCTAATATTTGACCACAAGATCCCTTGAAGCCAAAACTAGTCCACAGCTGCAGTACATCACCCTTACTCTCTTCTTCACCCTGATCCCTGCCCTTAACACTACGATTAACACACTCTATTTAGCCCTAGATTTCTTGCAAACCTAAACAAAATCCTAAACCAAAGAATTTTTACATACCCTAACCAAAGACCTGACACCACAAGCCGAACACCAAACCCTTCCACTACGCATTTGATTAATCTCTGTCACAGAAAGGTGAGCCCTAGTCCCTAATCTCATACATGAAGGCCTAACACCCAAAGTCAAGGTTCCTTTGCATTAACTTCTTCACATCCAACCCTTTTCCTAACCTTATTCTTAAGCACTTAAGGTGCTTGGCACTTATCCCAAGCACTTAAGGTGCTAGGCGCATGGGGCAGGGTAGGAACCATGAGGTTGCTCTGCAGTCACATGGCATTCAAAGATGGATGTGAGGGGCCATGGATCTGATCAGCTTGTGGGCCACAAAGAGGAGATGGATGGGAATGCTCTGAAGAGCTCAGCTCTGCCTCAGGATCTTCTGCCCCAGCAGGAGCAATGTGACTGTGGCAGGGACTGTGAGGTCACTTCTGTCTCTGCACTTGATAGGGCAGCAGCAGGAACGTGTCATGCAAAGGGACTGGGAGGTCACTTCTGTCTGGAGGTGTCAGGTGACAGTTCTGTGTCTTGACATAGACCTGGGATCTGGACTTTTGGGCTGACATCTGGCAGTGACCCTGCTAGGCCAGCAGAAGGCACCTGCTTGGCATGCTGACTGGGGGATCCCCTCTGCCTCCAGAGCCAGGAGGACCCAGGCAGAAAGAAGGCCCCTAGATGGGTTGTCCTGTCCCTTCTGCTTGAGTCCATGAGTGGGCAGCAGCAGGCACAAGGCTTGGCTGTGTCTCCACAAGAAGCTGCAAGGCCAGCAGCAGACCCATGGCTTGGGAGATGCTGCTGAGTATCTATGATCAGACCCTAGCTTCGTTTTTCAAGGAACAGCTGGTGAGGTTTGATGAGACGTTGGTAAAATGATGGAAATGCTGGGATGAGAGCAGGGTGGTGAACAGAGATGGGTGTCTGCAGACTTCCAGGAAGTAGGAAAAGGTGTGGGACAGCATTTTAAATCATGCAGAGGAGAAGGCAGAGTGCTGGCAAGAATGGAAGGCCCCAACAGCCCTGTCACTTTGGCTAGAGCTTATGAGAAGATGACATATAGTCATTGCAGTGCAGCCTCTTTGCTTCCTTGCAACCTTGTGCAGAGGCAGGGTGGTGTCATACCAGTGTTCTTCTCATGGCATCACACTGCCCATCGCATTCCTCAGACCCCCAAGAAAAGTCCTGAGCCAGACAGGGGGATGCAAGATCTCTCCTCACAGTGGCTGGGGTCAGGCCTTGGCCCTTCTGCATTACCAAAACCAAGCAAGCCTTTTCTCAGCACAGTGCTTTGCCTGTCTGTAATTATGGCCTCCAATTATCTGTCCTAACATGTCCCTGGGGAAGCTTTGTTAGTAACAGCCCTCAGTGGGGCCCATTAATACTCCAAGTCACTTCAGCTTTTCCTTTTGCATTTGCTTTTTCACACAGTTGCATCATTCTCCGCTCAGTACCCAAGTTTCATTGACTCAGCACCAAAATACTCCATGGAACTCATTAAAACACAGAAACTCCTAAGCAGCCATATCTCTCCCACCATTTTCTTCAAGTCTTCAAGACTTGTTCAGCTAATTGTAGAGCTTTCATGTTCTAGTTAAGGGGGAAGATTTCAAAGAGCATCTAATAAAAATCTTTCTTCATTTTAAAGTCTGGATTTTGTTGTGATTCAGTTTAGAACATCATTCTCATATAGGTATTGGTCTAGGGTTTCTCCTTTGAAGCCCTGCTTAGGTGGGAAGAACAGGGGTTTTCCTATTTCAAAACAAACAACAGGAAATCATGCTGCAATTTTCAAAAAACAAACAAACAAAAACAACAACAACAACAACAACAACAAAAACCCAACAACGTTCAAGTTCCTTATTTTGTTGCCTCCAGTGATGTTTACCTTCCCAAAAGGATGACTGTACATGATGTATTTTACAGTGATTAATAGGAAACTTTAAATAATTGTGTTAATATTAATCCATATCATACTAATTCAATGATAAATGATGAGGGTCTTACTAAGGAAACCATTAAAAGACTGCGGAGAGATAGGCGAGCTTGAACTCACTGAAACTTAAAGCAGCAACTGGGCCACTGAGAGCAGTCTGAATGGTCAAAGAGTAAGGGGAGGGAAAACGAGGAGAAAAATGGGAAGTCCAGGTCCAGACAGGCAGGTGGAAAGGGGTCATTCAGCATGTTCTGTGTAATCAAGATGGGTTTTGTGCCTGGAAGACGAGGGAGCACACCATGATAGACAAAGAGATGAGAATGCAAGTACAGGTGAACATCACTATTTCTTCTCCTGCCATTAATATAGACCATGGAAATTAGCATTTCTTCATGAAAGAAATTACACTTCATGTGAGACGTTTTACAGAAGGGATTGAATCATCTGAGCTGATGAGTAGTCGCTTTATCATTCAAGTACTAAAGAAATAACTGGGTGTTCAGGCTGAGCGTTGCTGTCTGACCATGAGCATAACCAGGGAAAACCTCCAGTGACCCCGTTGTGTTTGAGGCACTTCCCTGGACTGGCAGGTGTCAGAAAAGACCTGCAGGAGGCCGGAGCCCTTTGGGAAAATCAGGTGGAGCCAGGTGGAGTTCCCAGGGCACCTCCACTGCCAGCCGTGGTCTTTGTCCCTGCAACTGCAACCCGGTGCAACACAGGAAACCTCTTCAAAGACAAACCTCTTCTTCAGTGAGTTGCTAGGACTGACCTAGATTTGAAATGGCCCTTGGAAACCTGAGATACTCTCCCTTATTCCTACTAGACACGTGAACATCCAATACCTTCCTGGGTCATCTTTAGTTAACTCAGGCTGATAAACTCAAGTACAGCATAATTCAAATGGCTGAGCCAGAACCCATCAGCTTGCCCCACTTTGGAAATGGTCCTCATCCAACTAAGGTTTTGAAAGTGAAAAATTCAAAATGACCTGTGAGGTCAATGCGCAGAGTAAAGGAAGGTCACTCATATTGTGCTGGAGTAGTGCGGTGCTTTTCAGTTCTAGGCAGCTAAACACCACAACCGCTCTCTCACTCCCCCTTCTTAGATGAGGAGGGGAAGAAGTAAAGTAAAGAACAACTTACGGGTTGAGTTATGGATAATTTAATTAAAGGGAAATAATAATAATTATTATTATTATTAAAGAAAGATTATTATGAACTAAACTATTTAACTAAAGGGAAAAAAAGGGAAAGGGAAAAAGGGAGGGGGAAAGGGAAAAAAAAGGAAAACAAACAAACAAGACAAATAAAGTCTATGTGGAAGTGCAGAGGAAAGAAATTACTCTCCACTTCCCACAAATGTGCAATGCTTGACCACGTCCTTAAAGCAGGGCCTCAACGCACATAGCCAGTGTTCAGGAGGAGGACCGACGTTTTCCCAATGAGAACGCACCCCTCCCCTCTTCTTCCCGTTTCCACCTTTTATTGCTGAACCCAGTGCAAGTAGCAGAAGGCAAAAGCATTACATTGGGCCTCAGAATAATCAAGGAGACCTAATCCAGTTCATCCATGAGAAAAAGCAGAGTGAAGGACATTGAGTTGTGTCCTAACATGAAGAAGTATTACATCACTGGTGAAGGAACGCTCTTTTTGTGCCACCATCAAAGCAAATTACACAACAACTCTGTCAAATAAAGGTAACCTGTTCCACAGTGGCGCTGTCACACCACAGGACAGAGGAGGGACATTTTTCAGTTTCAGCCTCTTTTTCAGAGAGGCTTTGCCCTCTCCCTGTTCACCATGGCGCAGATCCTGGCCCTGGATGCTCCATGAGCACCTTGCAAGTCCTGGCAGGCTGTGGGGAGGGGACGAATGCCCTGGGCCCCCTTCCTGCTCTGCCCAGACCAGCAAAGGACTTAGTGGCTCCCTATACCTCCTTGATGCCACCACTCCTGTCACGATTCAAACCCAGGAAGCTGCTTCTTGAGTGGTCAGGGTGTCCAGGGGCACTGGGCATCCACCAGTGGTGACTCAGTGAAGCCCTGACACCCTCACCCAGGACTCTGTGCCCCCATGCCCCTCTGTCCAGGTGGAACCCCAGTACAACACTAAGACCTTGAGCCTGATATTCCCTGAGTGTCTTCTGCATTCCGGTTTGGGAAGGAGAGCCCTGAGCACTGTGCAAGTTCCTTTTACTAACAAGATGCCAAAACAGAGACCAGGCGTCATTTAGGAATAAACACATTCAAAGAAACCCTCTGAATCACACAGAGGAGTGGTCATCTGGAAAAGAGGAATGAAAGCAAACATCTAACATCTAACTGGAAACATTTTATTTATTAAATTTTATTAAACATTTTATTTATTAAATTTTAAAGAATGCTATACCTAATCATCACAAATTGCCTGAGATTAACTTGAGTAAATCTAGAAAAGCGAGATAGCCAATTTATTGCTATATAAGTATTACCACTAGAATCAGTTTCTTCAGTGTGGCTTTCAGGTCCTGGTTCCTCAAGCTGTAGATGAGGGGGTTCACTGCTGGAAGCACCACCGAGTACAGAAATGAAACCACCATGTCCAAGGATGTGGAGGAAATGGAGGAGGGCTTCAGGTATGCAAACAGGACAGTGCTGACAAACAGGGAGACCACGGCCAAGTGAGGGAGGCACGTGGAAAAGGCTTTGTGCTGGCCTTACTATAGAGACAAGAGGACTGTCACCTAGATCCACACGGTCTAATCCAAATCGACTGCTCCTACCTGTGGCAGCTGGGCTCTTGGCCCTGAGCCCCTCCTGGATGCTGGGACTGCTCCCGTAGCTCCAGAGGGGATGGGAAGAGGAGGAAACTGAGACCAATGAATTTCCGCTGACATCTTTATTGTCTTTAACTACCAAGGAATCCTGGTTCTGTATGTACATTAGATGATATAGTAAAAACTAACACAAAACGTAACATTCAGAATGTTAGGAATTAGATTATTAAAAATGAAATAAAATATTGTTCAAATATTAACAGAGAAAAATAATTTTTAAAACGTTGTCTCATTTTCCCAAATACCCTTTGTTTTCTGTTAGGATTGTTATTAATGACAATGTTATGATAACACTAGTAACGATAAAAAATATATGATATAATATGAATCAAAATATTTGCATATTATTAAGAATACATCCTCTGAACACATCACGGATGCTTAAGAAGCATGTATGGAAACAGTTTCCTCACTGCATCCTTGAGCTCCTGGTTCCTCATGCTGTAGATGAGGGGGTTTACTGCTGGAGGCACCACTGAGTAGAGAAGTGAGACCACCAGGTCCAGGGATGGCAAGGAAATGGAGGGGGGCTTCAGGTAGGCAAATATGGCAGTGCTGACAAAGAGGGAGACCATGGCCAGGTGAGGGAGGCACGTGGAAAAGGCTTTGTGCCGGCCCTGCTCAGAGGGCATCCTCAGCACTGCCCTGAAGATCTGCACATATGAGAAAACAATGAAAACAAAACAACCAAAGGCCAAGAAAATACTAAACACGAGTGCCCCAACTTCCCTGAGGTAGTAGTCTGAGCAGGAGAGCTTGAGGATGTGGGGGATCTCACAGAAGAACTGGTCCACAGCATAGCCTTGGCAGAGGGGAAGGGAAAATGTAGTGGTCGTGTGCAGGACAGCATTGAGAAAGCCACTGCCCCAGGCAGCTGCTGCCATCTGGGCACAAGCTCTGCTGCCCACGAGGCTCCAGTAGTGCAGGGGCTTGCAGATGGCAACGTAGCGGTCATAGGCCATGACGGTGAGAAGATAAAATTCTGATACAATCAAGAAGACAAACAGAAAGACCTGTGCAGCACATCCTTGATAGGAGATGGCCCTGGTGTCCCAGAGGGCATTGGCCATGGCTTTGGGGACAGTGGTGGAGATGCAGCCCAGGTCCAGGAGGGCGAGGTTGAGGAGGAAGAAGTACATGGGGGTGTGGAGGCGGTGGTGGCAGGCTACGGCACTGAGGATGAGGCCGTTGCCCAGGAGGGCAGCCAGGTAGATGCCCAGGAAGAGCACAAAGTGCAGGAGCTGCAGCTCGCGAGTGTCTGCGAATGCCAGCAGGAAAAACTCTCTCACAGAGCTGCTGTTGGGCATTTGCTTGTTTTGTGTATGTTGTCCTACTAAAGGAAAAGAAATAGAGTGATAATATATCAGGATTATCTGAGAAAAAACATTTCCATTTTTCAATTAAACCTCTCAAAGCCTTTGCTGAACTGCACTTAGACAGTTGGCAGATCCCTTTCCTTCATTGGTTTCAGTTGTTCTCTCCAGTACAATCCAGACAATTCATTGTCATGAACCCTGCCTCTGCTCCACACCAAGAATCTAAGAGCACAGAATTCAAGAAAGTCTTCTGTTTCAGATAAACCAAGCCTCGGTCTTCCTGTTAAAATGCCCCCTCAAAAATACCATTCTCTAAAACATCTTCTATGCCACATTACAGGTAGAATAAGACCCATCCTGACAGATGCTATCAGCCATTTGATGGGCCAGCTGTAGAAGACCCCTCTGGCAACCCCACCTGCATGGCCCTGCTGCCAGAGCCTCATGGTGTCAGGAACCTGCAGATGTGTCCTGCCACACGCTGCCCTCTGTTGTTGCGCTACTCAGTGCCTCCAAACCCTCTCTCCTTCTCTCTTGTCCCCGTGCCAGCTGCGGTCAGAGCCCCCAGCCCTTCTGCGTTGTGCAGAGGAGCTGCTCCTGGGCACAGCTGTCTCTCTGCAGCGCTTACCAGGAGCTCCCCTTGGGCCCAGGAGCCCGGCCCAGCTCAGCAGCACAGCACCCAACCATGGCATCGCTTGCTCTGTGCCCTTGGGCTCCCTCGAGGTGTCCCCAAGGCCTCAGGGCTGACAGCTCCCCAAGGCAGCAGGCTCTCTCCTGGGGGGTGGTGTTTGAAGCAGCCTGAAGTCATCACCAACTTCTTCTCTCTGTAGATGTCAGGGACTGATTGTTTAAAGTGTGATTTGTGCTGTTGGACTGTGGTTGTTAAACATGTTGTGCTTTAACTTGTCAGGAACCTCAGCACCACACAGATGTTAGCTCACACCCAACACCCAAAATATAATTGGTTGAAACAAAGGTAGTTAAAAGGACAGAAAATGAAGAGACAGTAAGAACAGTAACAATACTAATAAAAATAATTATAAACCTTATTTTTATTATTGTTATATGTATAAAGCAAGTGATGCACAGTGCAATTGCTCATCACGCACTGACCAATGCCCAATCTTTCCCGAAGCAGGGGTCCCACAGAACCTGGACAGCCTGCATGCAGCTCTTTACCTTACCTTGACCTTACTTTGTTTTAGGGCAATACAAGTTTTCAGAAGGATTTGCAACATTTGCTTCCCTTCTCAAGTACTTCCGCTGTGCTACTTCCATGTAGTGATGTTATCAAGGTATTGAAGGTTTTCAGGAGCTTCCCCCTACTCTAGAGTAGTCTGGATCAGCCCATGGCAAATGGTAGGGCTGTGCTTCCAGCCCTCGGGCAGTCAATTCCAGGTGGACAGGACGACCCTCCATGTGAAAGCAAAGTGTGGCCTTCGTATTGCTGTCAAAAGAATGGAGAAAAATGCATTAGCAATATATAGCAATATTAATTGTGGCATAGCACTTGGCTGCCTTTGACCCCAGTTCGTACTGAATGAAGTTCTAGCATGCCTGGCACAGCAGCACTCAGTGGTGGTGGGACTTCATTCAAGCCACAGAAGTGCACCGTTATCTTCCACTCACCATTCGAATTTTGTCCTGTCCATATGGGACTATTATAGGGTGAGCAAGTGTTGCTGATCACTCCGTGGCTCTCCAGTCGATGAACCAGCTCATGGATGGGAATCAGGGAGTCTCTGTTAGTGCAATATTGCCTCGGGCGCACTGTTGTGGTAGCGATTGGCTCCTGCTGCTCATTGCCCATCAGCACCTCCACAGCAGAAGGGTCCTGTGAAAGAGTGGGCAAGGTAGACAACTGCTTGGTGTCCTCCACCTCCAAGGCAGCTATGCCAAAAACCCACCAATACCCTTGTGGATCTCCTGAAGTAGTCTATGCCAATGTTACACAGAGCCTCCAGGCCAGTCCCAATGGGTTGCATTTGCCACTCCTTCCCCGTTAGACTCACTTCAGCCTCCTGTATAGTTAACTCTTGGGTTTGATGTGCCAGGCCAATAATCCTCAAAGTCCAATATACTCAATTGTCCTCTCCCTCCCCCAGGGTGGAGGCTGGGCCCCTCTAGTCCTGCTCATAGTATTCTTTACTCTGTTTGGAGGATTTCCCACTAGGAATTTGAGTAGCAAGTGTCTCAGAAGAACCCCGTTCTGACAATCTTGTTTTCCTTGCACTTCATGTATCTGTGCCTCTAAGGTGGAGGTCGATTTTTGCATCCCATTTTCTCATGGCCTCTCCATGGTCACACAGTCAAAAGCACAGGATGGAACCTGGTATGTACCCACTATGTCACCTTTCTTGAGCAGAGGGATGCTTACATCTGATAGCTGAGCTATTTGTTCGTGCAGGTGGGGAGGAAGCCGTATTCTCTTGGAGTTGTTGGACCTCTTGGGAAAGTTTCTTTCTGGACAAGACACAGGCCCATAGGGAAGAAGAGAGACTTTCTTTGTAATGCCATAGTTGGCTAGCCAATTCATCCACCATGGGTTCCTCTTGGTCTTTCCAGGTCACTACTGCCCATGGGTTGGCATACGATGATGGTGTGCTCTGTACAAACTCCTGCCCCATGGGTCATGTGTACTTGACTTCATCTGGATCTTTGGATAGCTGTTTGTTATCTAGGTTTCTACAAATCGCCTTCAGCATGTCTAATTCCCTCAGGTACCGGATACCCCTCTGCATGGTGGTCCACTTTCCTGGTTGACATACAAGATCTTCCTTCAAGGGAGACCTTTCCTTGATGCAAGACAGGATGAAGTTTCCTTGTGCCCATTTGCAATGGCTTTGTCAATCACCTACTGGAGGGTCCCAGCTGCTTGGCTTCCCTGCCTTCTAATTCCAGGCTATTGGCCTTGTTCTCCCACCACTGGAGCAGCCAGATGACAATGTGCTCACTGAGATGATGGCTGAAATCATTTCCAATACCTCGTAGCTTACCATGGGATAGAGAACACTTGGTTTCCGATGCTTATATTATTTCACAGAATCACAGAATCACAGAATCACGGAATTTCTAGGTTGGAAGAGACCTCAAGATCATCGAGTCCAACCTCTGACCTAACGCTAACAGTCCCCACTAAACCATATCCCTAAGCTCTACATCTAAACGTCTTTTGAAGACTTCCAGGGATGGTGACTCCACCACCTCCCTGGGCAGCCCGTTCCAGTGTCTAACAACCCTTTCAGTAAAGAAATTCTTCCTAACATCTAACCTAAAACTCCCCTGGTGCAACTTTAGCCCATTTCCCCTCGTCCTATCACCAGGCACATGGGAGAACAGGCCAACCCCCACCTCACTAAAGCCTCCTTTAAGGTACCTGTAGAGAGCGATAAGGTCACCCCTGAGCCTCCTCTTCTCCAGGCTGAACAAGCCCAGCTCCTTCAGCCGCTCCTCATAGGACTTGTTCTCCAGGCCCCTCACCAGCTTTGTCGCCCTTCTCTGGACCCGCTCAAGCACCTCGATGTCCTTCTTGTAGCGAGGGGCCCAAAACTGAACAGAGTACTCGAGGTGCGGCCTCACCAGAGCCGAGTCCAGGGGGACGATCACCTCCCTAGCCCTGCTGGTCACAGTGTTTCTGATACAAGCCAGGATGCCGTTGGCCTTCTTGGCCACCTGAGCACACTGCTGGCTCATATTCAGCCGACTGTCCACCATCACTCCCAGGTCCTTCTCTGCCTGGCAGCTCTCCAACCACTCCTCTCCCAGCCTGTAGCTCTGCTTGGGGTTATTGCGCCCCAGGTGCAGGACCCGGCACTTGGCCTTGTTGAACTTCATGCAGTTGACCTCAGCCCATCGGTGCAGCCTATCCAGATCCTCCTGCAGAGCCTTCCTACCCTCGAGCAGATCGACACACGCACCTAACTTGGTGTCATCTGCGAACTTACTGAGGGTGCACTCAATGCCGTTGTCCAGATCATTGATGAAGATGTTAAAGAGGACCGAAGATGTTAAACAGCACCACACGGCCTGATCTGCAGAGAGAAATGCCGTCCCAGACAGTCTTTGTCCCCACAATGGATGAGAAGCTCTGTAAGGAGCCAGGAAGGTGCTGATAAGCACCAGGACAATTGAGGAAGTCCAAAGGCCTTTCTGAAGGGTCACTGAGTGCCACCTGAAGAGGCAGTGCTGGGCAGTGGGGAGGGTCAGGTGAAAGACTTGTGAGAAGGCTGTGAGAAACAAGGAAATCCAGGTCTTTTGCAGATCCTTGAAGTCCTGCCTGACTCCCCAAATGGAAAGCAATCTATGTCTGTGGGTTGACGAGAAGGAAGTGGTGAGTCCCAGGTGGGGGGCAGGGCTGAAGGTCCCTGCGTGAAGCTGGGCTGATGGAGAAGTGTCCACCTTGCATGTGTGCCTCAGCCTGGGAGCAGGGGCCTGCCCACAGTGCGGGATGGCTGGGCTGTGCTCAGCCATGCCCCAGGAGATGACCTTGCTCTCTTCCTCCCCACCACTCCCCACACGCGGCAGGCCCTCAGGAAACACCCCTGAGCCTGGAGATGCACCAACCTGCTGCGGTGAGGTGCCACTACTGCAGGGGCAGAGGGGAGGCCTGG